CCGCAGCCCTCTGCTGGATCCGAGGGGGAGGGGTGGGAAGAGGAGAAAATGAAATAAAAGATAATTACTGAACACGCCGAAATTGAATGCATCGTTTCTTAATAAATCCAGGCCTGGACTCTGAGCCCGGTCGCCCTCCCCTGCACGTCCCCGCCTCCTCCTACCCCTCCCCACCGCCCGTCGCATTAGCGGACACTCTATAATAGTGGCATTTATTAAGAGACCTGTTCTCCTCTCACTGCCCCAGCTTATGAAAATTTGATCATGTCACGCAGACAGAGCTGCGTGGCCATTTATTTAGGACTGAATTCTTTTTTTTTTTTTTTTTTTTTTCTTCCTGCGCGCTTTCTCCTCCTTCCCAATTCCAGGTCTGGGAAGACATCCTCGTCCTCATCCTACAGGGACTGGATGGGGGACCGAAGAGAACCCTGGAGGGAAACAGCAACAAAGTCTGGAGCGGGGCCTGCAAGTGTGGGTGGAGAGACCGCTGCCTGCAGGCCGGGACCCTGGGCCATCAGTGCGCTGGTGATTAATACCCACAATGATCATGCTTAATAATCATCGGTGACGACTCCTGGCAGCAGCGCCTCTTGGCTTGGCGGCCTGGGGAGGGGCTCTGCGTCCTAGCGCTCAAAAGCCCAGGTGGCGGCAGGCACAGGGTCTTGGCAGGGTCAGGGGTCATCAGGTGGTGAGGGCGACAAGACCACGCTTGGCCGCCACTTAAGATTGTCCCCGGGGCCGCCTGGAGGGCGCCGAGGGGCTGGGTGCTAGAATAACAGTGACATTCCTGGCCCCGGACAAAAGCTGGTGACAGGAAGGCAGAGAGCTGGTACCTGTGCCGGGGGAGCTGCTTTTCAGCTTGGACGTCTGCCTCGACTCTTTCATCCAGGGGAATATCTGTTTGGTGAGGGTGGCGTTGGAGCCGGGCCCGCACTTGGGGGCCCCGCTTTTGCCGGGCGCGCCCCCGTTACTGCTGTTGCTAGTGGTACTGGTGGGTGCGGCGCTGGGCGGGGGTGAGCCCGGCGGGGCGGGCAGGGGCTCGGGGGCCAGGCCGGGCCTCATGCAGCTGCCGTTGAGCTCCTTGCTCTTGGCATGCGGGACGGCGTTGCCCAGGGACTGCAACGAGCACGCTGAGCGCTGGTAGTCACCCTCCAGGTGCGTGGCGGCCTGGAAGGAGGGCTGGGGGGGGCCGTCGTAGCCGAAGCCATTGCTGCCGGGGTACGAGGTGTAGCCTCCAAAGAGCGCAGCCGCGGCGTTGTCGTAGTAGGTGGCTTTCTGCATCGCTGGGCGAGGCCCGGGCAGTAGATGGCAACTCGCAAGGGCCTGATACCCTCACGACCGGACATTGGCACCCCTGGGGGTCACGTGACACGCCGGACCCCCCTCCCCTCGCTGCCCCCCTCCTCCCGGGCCTGTTCGGAGCGGTTGACCTGCGGGGCGAGAGAAGAGACACAAGGGGGAGAAGAGGACTGGGACTCGAATCCATCTTAAGAACTGAAAAGCTAACTGACATCAATAGGGCTTTTTCCCTTCTCCCCTCCCCGAGGTCTCCGGAGCAGTTGCTGAGGCCCTGCCTCTGGCCCCGAATGGGAATGGGACTTTTCCTATTTAAATGCTTTGATTTTAAAGAAAAATGCCCGCCAGTTTTCATTTCCACTTAAAAAAAATAAGGAGTCCACTGCTCCGGGGCTCGCGGAGGAGTACAGCCCGACCGCTGCCGGGCCACGGGCCACCGCCGCCGGGACCCAGCGCCTGCCTCTGCTACTCTCTCTCACCTCCCCCAGCTCCGGGAGAGGGTGGCTCTGCCGAGCGGGCACTGGCAGACTGCAAAATAAGAGCGTCCTGAAGAACCTCCCGAGAGCGTCGAGGCCGCTCTGCCTCCATCTCCACCCCGCTAAGCAGCCTGGCCCGGAGGAAAGCAGAGCACAGAGACTTGGAGAAGCAAGTTCAGGGGGAGCGGGACCGCTCTGGGAGGTCCTCTCGAGACTCCCTGCGTTCTGCACAAAGACAACAGAGTGACCTAGAAACTGTCCATCCAAGGCCCTGCTGCAGGGACCACCACCTCCAGGTCGCTCTCTGCTCAGCCAGCCCTGGAACCCTGCAGCCAGCAGCCCCGCAGCAGCCTCCGTGGCAGGACTGTGTCAATTTCCCAGGCCGAAGGCAGCTTGGTGCTCTGACCATTTGGCCCAAGTCTCTCCCCCCTCGTCTCTAAACATGACAGTTTTCCCCACCTTTTTCTTGACAGTCTGCTTTCTCTGATTTCTCCAAAAGAAGACGAAAAAAGAAATTGTGTAGCTGCTGGACTTTTCTACTGAGGGGAAAAGTGCCTTCTAACAGAAAATTATTCGAGGAAGGAAAACCCACAAAGCCATCTGAACAACGTTATTCTCTGGGTTAGCAACAGTGGGTGCCCCTCTTTCCTGCGGGACCCTGAGGCAAAAATAAAAATACAACCAGTATGTTAATGCAGCCTTATAAAAGAGTGCCAGTAAAATAAAGATCCGGGCTGCCACAGAATTACTTGTGTGTTTGTCTGAAACTTCTGACTGCACGCCTTGTGTTCCCCAACCTCTATCACTTTTCATAAAATCTCCCTCTGATCCTCTCTCCTGTCATGTGTGTTGGGAAAACTTAAATCTCATTCAGCCCAGCTGGTCAACTCCGAAGGAAACTAAAATTAGGAAAATAAAATAAAAGGAGTGCAGGTGAAGGAAGTCCCTCCCACACATAAATCCTGCTCTCAGTGGCACAGATTTATACTCAAAAGGGAGTCTGGGTGGGCCAGAGTTCCGATTGGTTTCTGGGGGAAAAAAATTGTTTCTGGAAATACACATGGGTCTACAAAGCAGGAGGTCCTTCCAGGGAGAACTGGAGTTCAATTGACCAGGCTGACCCAATCCCTTTATTATTATTACCATTAGCCTCTGATGATTTAACCAAAATTAGTTTCCAAGTGGCCCTGGCTGAAAGGGGAATTAATTAACAAGCATCAGTTGAGTTTGTTATTAATAGACAGAGAATGAAATAAAAACGTTGGAGGGGGTTTGCTGGCTGGGCCCTGGCTTTATTTAGTCTAAGTGATTGTTACAGCAATAATGATGATGATGATGGTGGTAATAATAATAAAACAATAATTTGACTAGACGCCCAGGGGCTGAAATTTCTGTCGCTCCCCCTGTAATAAACCCCAAACCATCGCAGGACGGAGGCCAGGCAGGGTGTGAGAGGCAAAGGAGCCAGACACCGAGAGAGAGCAAAGAATGGAGGCTGCCGGCGGTGACATAGGGCCGGGAAGGTTTCTGCGCCGGGACAGTGTCTGGCTGCTGCCACCGCCAGGCTGTCGCGGCGGCGGCTGCCGCAGTGGCTGGCAACCAGCTACCCGCTGCCTAGGGCCGGCCGGGCCAGGAAGGGGAAGAGAAAGCCACCGGGACAGCAAGGTGGTTAGCGGCCAGCGGCAGATTCCCAGCCCAGGGCCCAGCCCCGCGGCGGCGACAAGTTTGGGCACTGGAGGTAACCGAATTAAAAGGCGCCTGAGCAACTTTGCCTGGCTGGGCTCTGGGCTGGAGGCAGCCTAGGCCTGGCTGGTGGGACAGCGGCAAGAGGAAGGTGCCGAGGGGTTCTGAGATCTGGAAGACAGGCGCAGAGGGGGTGGGGAGCAGCTCTACCCAGCCAAACATGTCTATTTCCCTTGCCTCCATGTTGGAAAAATTCAAGCTCCATATGGCTCCTGTGAAGGGTGGGAGGGAGACGGTGGCGCCCGGCTTTCCCCTGGGTCCCGCTGGAGAAAGGAGGTGAGCCCCCCCCCCCAAGAGCCCCACCTTGCCAGGCTCGGCCCCAAGAGAGCCAGGGAAGGTAACAATAGCTGGAGAAGCCCCAGGAGAGAAGACAGGCCACCTTCCAGGACTTACAAAATTAATGGAAGAAAAATAAAAGAAAAAGAACGAGGGAGAGGGAGAAAGGTTAGGCTCTTCTTGGCAACGGGGGAAAATTCAGCCCTGGGTCCTTCCGGCTGCTGGAAGAAAAGAGAGAAAAGGAGAGATGCAGAAAGAGAGAGGGAGAGGGTGAGAGAGGGAGAGAGAGGGAGGGAGGGAGAGGGGGAGAGAGAGAGGGAGAGAGAGAGAGAGTCAGTCGCTGCGTGGAAGGAAGCTTAAAGCTGTGAACTCTTCTTGAACCGAGATTGGAGTCATATGGGCCATAAATCATTGAGACATACTCTCCGCCATTCACAAACTGATAGCCTATTTCAGCCCAGCTTACCTTAGCCACCGACGAGGGGAGAGCAGGCAGACATAATATATATTCACATCGAGCCCCAGCGCGAGCGGCAGGCGAGAAATCTCCCCTCCTTGAAGGCAAAGGGAAAAAAGACCACTGTTTAAAGCTTCGTCGCCCCCCCCTCCCCAAAGCCACCCCGGCTGCTGGGGAGCCCGAGGGGCAGAGCGGCCAGAGGAGCCGGCGCGGCGTCCGCTTCAATTCACTCGGCTTAGGAGCCGGGGGTGCGCAGAGGGAGGGGGTGGGGGATCGGAAAAAAATAGAAGACCGAAAGGTGCCGGGGCTGCCGGGCTCGCCGGGATCCAGCTCCGGGCGCTGGCTCGGCCAGGCCGCCACAGTGTGGTTGCCCTATAAGACTGGTACGCCCTACTCTCTGTAACAATGGCCTCTGCTTTTGCACAGGGAAAAAAAAACCACACAGACACACACACACTCACTCACTCACACACACGCTCATACACACCCCCACCTCTCCCCCGTTAGCAAGCTTAGATGTCTGATAAGGAGGGAAGGTGAGGGTGCTGACGGGGGAGGGGGCGTTTTAAATACACCCCCCCAAAAAAAGAGAGTGAGAAAGAAAGGCGGTGGAGGTGGGCTAGCTTTGCTTCTCTCTCTCTCTCTCTTTTTTTTTTTAAGAACAAGTAAATTTTTAAATTGAGATCTGGGGAGAGGCGAGCAAACGCGAGGCGCTCCGTGGAGTTCCCGGCCCCACCCCACCCCACGAGTGAATCATTATGCTAATTTGAGAAGGGGCTTGAGAGGCCTGGAGGAGAGGGCCCGGCCTGGGGGCGGGGGTGCTGGGCGCCCCTCGCTCATTCGCAGTTGCCACGCCAGAACTTCTTTTTTTTTTTTTTTTTTTTAAGTAGTTCTACTCCTCCAGGACTGGTGGCTGCTGGCCGGGTCTCCCGCTGGCCTGACTCTCTGAATCTCCCAGGCTCTGTACCTCTCCTCCGTACCTCTCCACCCCTCTCCCCCACCCGCTAAGACCTCCAGGTACTCTCTCTACCCAGGGGAGGGACCCAAGGCTAAGTTTTTTTTCTTAACACCCTACCTTCTTTTTTTTTTTTTTTTTTTCTTTTTTTCTTTTTGAGAACAGACAACAAGCGGTGAGTGATGACTTAAAAACCCAGAACATCTTGCAGGGGCAGAGGAGTTGAGGAGAGGGTGACAAAAGAACCTGCTGGAGCGCTGGGAGCCGGCTGCAGAGCGGCTGTGAGAACTTCAGGGAGAAGTTTCTGTGAAGATTGCCACCTCCGGATAGGCAGGAGGGGCGAGAAGGGGACCAGGACATTTGTCCCTCTGAGAAGATGAGCTCAACCAGCAGAATGGCTTTGTTTCCCATGCACTGGCTGAGGAGATGGAGGGAGGTTATTATTATTATTACTATTCAGGGCAAACCTGTTTGTTTCTCTCTGCTCTGCAAGATTTATGACCCTTGGCACAAGTAAGGAAGGTTACAAAAGCCAAAGTTTTCTTAGGGTGTGTGTGAGCAGGGCAGGGCAAGGCAAGGAGCAGGCCTGCAGGAGGAGGACAGAAGCCAAGAATGTAGGTGTCTGCACATTTGGGGGTGGGGGTGGGGAGAGCCATTCCTGGAGGAGAAAAAAGACAAAAAAAAAAGAAAGAAAGAAAAAGGCAAAGCCCCAGGACACCTTCCCAGGCAGGCGCCTCCGCAGTGCTCTAACTGCTGACTCGGGGCTGAGGGGGTGAAATAGAAGGCGGCTTGGGAAACTGGTCAGTCAGCCACCACCCTGGGATTTCCTGGTTAGAGCCCGGCTCTGGGCTTCTGCCCTGTGGATGCACTAAGACTGGGCGATGGGACCGGGGGAACAAAGGTGAGGGATGATTTCCAGCTATTGTCTCCCCTTCTGCGCAGGGAGGGCGGCTGCGTCTGGCTGAGGCGAGGCGGGCACCCCACACCCCCCTCACCCCAACTCTGGGTCTGCTTGGGGGATGAGCAAGAGGGTGATCCCTGGCCTCTGGCCCCCACTTCTCCCAGGCCCACCAAGTCAGGCCAGGTGAGCTGCAGCAGCTGGGGCCCTGGGGCCTGCTTGCGGCCTCCAGCAGTAGGAGCCGCCCGCAGAGCCCTCCTTGTGCTGTGCTGAGGGTCCTTCCGCCTGCAGAACTGGCACTGCGGGCAGGGGAGAGGTAAGGAGCGAAGGGAGCCATTTTTCTGTGCTTGTTAGTAGCATCAAGACAAGAAAATGCCCAAGCCTGATGAAGTGTTGGGGCTCCAGCCAGGACCCTCTCGAGGAGACCCTTTAAGCCTGGGTGAGTATGTAGCTAGGAGGAGCCGCCCCGAGGTCCGCAGACACCGTCTGGAGACTTACAGGGTTAGACCGCCAGCCGCTCTGGGCCTGGCGGGACAGGGACTCGGGCGGGGAAGTTTCCGGTGTCTTTGGATCTTACTCTCAAGCTCCCCAAGTGAAGAAGCCAAGAGTGTACTTTAGAGCCTGCAGCTCTTCTCACCGTTACTGGCTAGAGAAGGTCACTGTGAAGTTGACAGAGAAGCTGGTGGCTGCCCAGCCTGCACAACTTTGCCTGGAGCAATAGAGAGAGCCCCACGGCACCCAGCCAGCTGCAGCCTGCGCTAGCAGGGACGGGGGCTTCGCGTGCAGCCGCCTGGGCAGGAAAAGTGCCCCGGGGACAGCAGGGACCCTGCCTCCCGGCCTCCACCAGCGCTGGTGGCCCCTTCCGGCTGCACAAGGCAGTGGGACACTGAGGAGGGAAGTGAGAAGGTGGGGAGCAAGGAGACAAAGCAGCCTGGGGGGTGTCCCCCCAGATGCGCCAGGGGAGCGGCCTGGTAACCACCCTGCAGACCAGCACCCACTTGGACTGCTTGGGAGGCAATGGCTCCTTTCTGCCTTTTCTGCCCTTCCTCCGAGGTTTCTGCCCGCAGGCTGATCGCCCCTGGCTGCGGCTGGGAGGCCGCAGGGCAGAAGGCGGTCAAGCTGGCAGGCCTGAGGGTGCTTGTTTCATTGGCAGCGCGGCTGCAGGTTAGGGACCTTTCAAACTGCCGGAGACAAAGGCTGGGTGGCAGGGACTTGGGCAGGGAGCTTAGGGTGGGGGGCTTCAGGGGAGGCCTGAGGGGAGACCTTGGGGTCTGGGGAAAGACGGGGAGAAGCCTGTGATTTAGGGATAGCGAAAGGGAGAGTTTCTTCCTGGACTCAGGGTCAGAAGCTTGGGTAACTCTCTCTCTGCCTCCTCTTTCTGAGTATGTAAGAATCTGTATATGTGAGAGATTGAAAAGGGAAAATTGAGAAAAAGATTAAAGCATGTAAACTAATAAAAGCAAACAATTGATAATAAATATGAACATTAGGAAAATGTCCCCCTCCCAGATATCCTTTTCTCCCCCATTCCCTCTCCGCAGAGCCAGAGCTCTGGCTCCCACACTCCCTCCACCCCGCCCCGACTCGGTACCCCGTACTGAGGGGGACCCCAAACCCTGAGACCAGCCGCTGTCCACCCTCCACTTCTGCACCTTGGCAGGACCACAGCTGTTTCCCTCTCCCCTCAAGAATCCACCAAAGACTAAACGAAAATTCTTTCAACAAGAGCAAAGGAGCTGGCACCTTTGAAATGGACTTGTGAGCTCCCTTGGGGCGGCCAGGCATCCTGTCCCCCAGGTCCCTGGCTGGGCTCCCTGGATCCTCGGCGCCTGGGGCTCGCGGTTAGGGAGCTGTTTCTTGCTGCCTGCCTGGTTCTGAGTCCCATACTTTTTCCCAGTTTTACTGCCCAACTTTGTGCCTCCACGGAGTGGTGTAAAGTTTTGGAATTTCCCAAATCGCCGCCTCCTCGAGGGTTAGGAAAGATTTCAAAGCTGGGGGGGGTACTGTTAATGAAGATGGCTCTTGGCGTTTACCTCCCCCACCCTAGCTTTCCAAAATGCAGGAGTGGGAGGGAACAAAGAGGCTTCGAAAGGAGCCGGCCTGGCGCCTCTGCTGTAGCCCAGCAGCGCAGACCTGGCTCAGCAATGGCGAGGATCGAAAGGAGAAAAAGATCACCGGGCTGGAGAAGAAGACACCAAGCTGTGCTTCTGTCCCTATGCCAGGTGTGGGGATGCCCGCCTCTCCCAGGCGGATGCCGCAGGGGAGGTCAGAAACGACAGGGCAGCCTCCCCCCGGGGCTGTGAAGTCTACTTGGTGACTAACCAGGCAGCCTGACCCCGCTCATGAGCGACCCAGGCCATCACCCGAGCAAGCAGGCTCCTTGGTGGCCAGAGGTCTCCTCCTCCTGCTGAACCAGGGAGACTGCCGCATCCAGAAACTCAGTTCCGGCCTGCAAACCCCACCCTTAGCAAGTGTGGAGACAAAGGTGGGCAGGACGGACGAGGCCAAGGGGGACCGGCGGTGAATCCTGGCGGGCTGTGGAGGTGGGGTGGGGGTGGGGTGTCCCAGGAGAAGCCGGAAAGAGAGGAGCAAGGACCCAGTCCCCTGCAAGTGGCCGCCCCACCTCTCCTGACAGATTGGATGTCTCTCTTCCAGTGACCTCTGTTTAGCAGACAATAACTCACTGGATTAATGACCAACCTGTGCAAGGCCTCCAAATATAAAACTCCAAAGTCAGAACGGGGCAGGGCGGGAGTCCGAGCCTGCCAGCCCTGTGCTGCTTTCCTCTCCTCAAAACAGGGTTTGGGTGAGGTTTTGGGAAGTGGGTTATCAACCAAGAGACAGATTTCTAAAGATGAAGCTGTCCCAGGTCTCTTCCCTCCACCCTCACCCTGCCAAACTCATATCCCAAGCCACCGTCCCAAAGCAGCCTCTGACCCTCCCTTCCCCGCCAGGCTTCCTAAGACCCCTGATGCCACAGGACATTTCTGTTCTCACGCCCTGCAACTGCGAAGCTGCTACTTCAAAATGTTATCTTCCCCCAGCTGGAGGAAGAGATGAAAAATGAGAATACAGTAGAGATCTTCAGTCTGGCGGTGTTTATGTCCCCGCTGCCCCGGGGGAGACCTAGTAGAGTACTGTATGTGCTCGGCCCCAGAAAAAGAAGGCCCGAAGGCCGAGGGCCTCAGGGGGGCCAGTGAAAGGCTGTGTGACATGGGCAGCGTGGGGAACGAACCTGCTGCCACTGATTCTACGTTCTGAAGCCACAATCCCGGCCCAACTAGTATCCTAAAAGCTGTCTTCTGAACAACTCCAGCCTCAGCAGGGAAAGGGCCCTGTCCAGTGAGCCTGAGCCTCCCCTTCCTCTGCTCCTCCCCAAATCCAACCCCGATGCACCCCAGCTAGTCAGCCCCTCTCCCCGCCTTCTCTCAGCTGGGCTCCTCTTCTGATGAGAACAGGGCCGCCTTCAGCGGGGGTGGGGGTGGTGGGGGGGTGGTGTGTCCAGATTCAGCGGACTTCCTAGGGCCTGAGGCATCCACAAACTAAACACTGCAGATCAGCTCGCAGTGACTTCTGTCCCCAGGTGACACAAGGAGGTTGCTTCCAAGTCCTCCCACAGAGGATGGACACACAAAGGGGCACCTGAGACTGGAACTGGGGGAGGGAGCACTCAGGGAGTATCCAGTCCGACTCTGCCATGGTTACAGACAGGGGAACCGAGGCCCAGAGGGAAGGCATACTTGGGTGGCAGGCTGGAGTTCAGCCTGGCTGTGTGATCTAAAGCAGGGCATTCTTTGGGCCTCAGTGTGCCCTTCTGTAAAGTCAGGGCGAGCGTGTGGAGGGGAGGGGCCGGGCTGAAGGACGGGAGAGCCCCTTCTGGACTGGACATTAGCAGTTCTCTATGTGCTGACGGAGAAAGCAGTGCCGGGAACCAGTCATAAAGTGAGTTCAGACAATAGTGGACAGCACGAGATCAAATGCAGAGCGCTTCCGCTTCCGATTTAAATGCTTATGCCCCCACCGCTGAGCACACACACTCTGGGCCCCCTCCCACCACAAAGGCGCTTGCCCTGGGGGGGGGTGGCTGACTCTCTTACCCTCATTACCAAATCAAAAGTGCTATTTTTGGACACAGCAACCTGAGCAGTAAATAATTAATTTGTATAATTAGAGGAGGAAGCCTTGGACCTGGCAATTTTTAACCCAGCATCAATGCACCCTTTGATGGCCTTCTCACCCAACCCCCACCCCTGCCCACACACCTACCAGCCCCCCAATTGCCTCCACCCCTCCCCCATCAGCTACAGCCCAGCATTCCCCGGATGGCCAGGCCGGCATGGTCCACAGAGCCAGGGTCTGCTCCTATCCCAACAAAGTTCCTTCTCTGCTCTGCTCTGCAGCAGGAATCTGTCTGCCAGCAGCTGCCCCTCTGCGCTAGCTTTCTCTGCCCACCCCCTAAAGCTCTGCTGGGTCCCAGGCTCGCAGCTCTTGGGAAACATGTAATCCACCTCCTCTGCTCAAGATGCCCCAACAATGCATCGAGTTTGCATTTCAAGAAACTCCCATTAATATCAATTTACTTCACTGAAACCTCGGGTTCTTCATCAAGTTGATGATTTATGATAAAATCAATTAAATTACGGCCACTTAGGCCCCAGCCGCTTCCTCTCAGATTTCATTGGTGCGGGGCCCAAGTGTCTGGTGGAAAAATGCAAGTTTAGCTGGAGGCGAGGAAAGATAATTCTGCGGCTGAGAAAATTTAATGCAAAACAATTTCCAGGCAAAGCCGGGCGTCTGGACAGAAACGCAAGAGCCACTAGTTGGCCTGCGGAAATAACTATCTGGGGTTCAAGATGTTTCTCCTCCCCACCCCCATCCTCCTGCACAGTTTCCTCCCCCTGTTCACCTTCCTGCTCACTTCCCCCCTCTCCCAAACAGAGGTTTGGGGAGAATCTGAGCAGGAAGAGTGGGACCCAATTCAGCCCGGGCTGAGCCTCAAATCACAGGTCTCCCAAAGAACTCTCCTACCACTCCCACACCGGGCCTTGTCCCTCGCTTGTCCCTCACTGGTTCCTTAGTCTCCCACTGCAAACCTGCAGATCCAAAGTGAAGATCAGGCTGCGTGGGCAGACGGCCTGTATGAAAGGACCAAAGGAGCAGGGGCCAGGGCCAGGGCCAGGGTTCTGCTGTGTGTGCCTTTTGGGGGAAAGCAAGCCCAAGCGGGAAGAATCCCTGCCTCTAGGAGCGGGCAAGAGGCAGCAAACTGTGGTGCACCAGGAGGGAGAGCACGCAGTCTCCGGGTGTGTGTCTACCCCAAAGGTCATGCTATAAACACACAACCAACAACTCTCCATCTGAAAGCTCCCGCATGCACACCCCAGCGCGCACGCTCCCACAGTGCACAAACACACCTACACGCGTGTGCGCGTCCGCACACTCTCCTCACGGCTCACACAGAACCATCATCACCCCCACGTGCCTGCGAAGGGGCAGTCTCCGCTATCTGCTCACATCTGGGAAAATAAATCCCGGCACCTCCCATCCGCCTGGCATCGCCCCTGCTCCAAGGAGAGGGGTTTCTCTCTCCTCTGCTCTGTTTGGTTTTTCGTTTCCAGAGCAGGCAGATAGTAAACATAGCTTCTCAGAAGCCATAAATCACCTCCTCTCCTACCTTCTCGGCTTAACACCCAGCTCCCCGCAAAGCCCTGTCTTTTCAGCTTCAAACAAGCCCCAGGTGCTAAGGGGCTGGACGGGTAGCGGCTGCACTGTGGGAGCGGCCCCAGCCTTCCCCAACTCGTCCCCCTTACATTTCCCTCGCCACCCACAGCTCTTGACTCCCCTGGACGCCCCGCCTCGCGGCTCCCCAGCCCGCCCAGCAGGGAATCCTGCCCCACCCAGCGCGATCCTGTGCACCCGGCCCAGGTTCAGCTCCACATTCCTCCGCTCCCTTCGCCCCTCGGGTGGCTGCACCTGGCTTCAGCCCCCACCCGCCCAAGCTGCTCTTATCTTTGTCCTCCTCCCCGCCGGACCCCCGAGCGGCCAGGGGCGGGGGTCTCGGTCCCCACTCTCCACCCGGCCAGGCCCAGCGCCAGGGCCGGATAGGCACCCCACACTCACCTGTGCGCGCCCCACTAGGGCAGCGGCGGGTGGGCTGGGGGCGCGGGGCGCACGGAACCGCTGG